GCGTGCCAAGCTCTCCCAGCGTTGGAAGCCGGATCGCTCCGCCTTTACCGCTCTCCACCTGGATGTCTGCGGCTCCGCCGCGATGGTGAGTTCGGGTTTGGGGTTTGGGGTTTAGGGTTTAGGGTTTAGGGTTTAGGGTTTAGGGTTTAGGGTTTAGGGTTCCAGGGCTTGAGGTTTCATGGTTTTGCGAGGGTTTCCTCCAAGCCCTGAGCCCCAGGCCAACCCTAAGGCCTGACTCGACCATCGAGGGTTGGTGCTCTAAGGCTTATTCAGGGGCTCCTTTTAGAAGGACTATAGTATTTGGGGTATATTCGGGTTCCCTATCTTGAGAAATGCCCGTTCAGGGGCTTGCGTGTCCTGGTTCAAATGTGGAAGCTGGACCGAGATTGCGGTACCTTTTTGGGTCTAATTAATTAGTAGGCATGGGGGCCAGTTTAAGTAGGAGTTGCTGGTAGAGTCTCTAAATTCACGTAGGGATGATGAGGGAATATTGTTGATACTAGGCTTTCCTAGGGGGGGGTCTTAGCACCCTGAAGACATCTGTCTCTTGTGTTGACGTCCCTAAACACTAAACCCCACACACTGAACCCTAAACCCAAAAAAAACAGGGAACTTGCAATGTCCTGCGAAAACCGAAGCTTGTTGCTGTTGGGCTTTAGGTTATCCCCCCTGCTCCTGTAAACCCTAAACTCTGACTCGAAGCCCTATACTGAACCCGAGACCCTCAAACCCTAAACCCCAAAAACCTTACAGTAAACCCTAAACCCTAAACCCTAAACCCTAAACCCTAAACCGCAAGATGCACATGGACCGTGCCCGAGGCAAGATCTTCAAGTCTCCAAACGCCGCACCTCCGTCCCAGTTTAGGGCTTTGGGGCGTTTGGGGTTTGAAAGCTTCAGGCCGCCTAAACCCTAAACCCTAAACCCTAAACCCTAAACCCTGAGTCTTTTCTGTTTAAGCTGGGGAGTGAGGATGGGGGGGGGGATCTTTGGTTCAGGGCTTTTTGGGCTGTAGTTTTCAAGGACTTGGGGGGTTTGGGCTTTTACTGTTCCAGGGGAACCCTAAACCCTAAACCCTAAACCCTAAACCCTAAACCCTAAACCCTAAACATCCCTAAACCCTAAACCCTAAACCCTAAACCCTAAACCCTAAACCCTAAACCCTAAACCAGGGCTTCAGGCGCTTCTTGGACTCTGGGGCTTATGGGCTTCTGGGGTGGATAGGGCTTTTCGGGTCCAGGGCCCTGAACCCTAAACCCTAAACCCTAAACCCTAAACCCTAAACCCTAAACCCTAAACCCTAAACCCTAAACCAGGGCTTCAGGCGCTTCTTGGACTCTGGGGCTTATGGGCTTCTGGGGTGGATAGGGCTTTTCGGGTCCAGGGCCCTGAACCCTAAACCCTAAACCCTAAACCCTAAACCCTAAACCCTAAGGGTTTTGTGGCTTTGGTTTGGGGCTTCAGGGATTTGAAGGTGTTTTGGGGTTTGAGGTCATGATGTCCAGGGTGGGGGCCATGCTTTAAAGGGGACCCAAACAAGGACCCCTAATTTAGAGATCCATTCCCATTTTTATTTAGAATGCGGAGATATTCTAGTGTACTTTTCCGATGTTTTTGCGCGAGCTCGCGTCGTGCCGTGGCCACTAGGGGCTTGGGACCCCGTACTGTAGTTCAAGGGATGAAGTGTCTAGGAGTATAAGGCGTTCGGGGGTTCAGTGGGCAGTTTTTCTTTGCATGGATGCAGTCGGCGCAGCACACATTACACCAGCCTGACATTCAATGGGGTTTCGCACTCACACATGACGACAGGCCCGACAATGAACTAGACTAGATGACGTCACTCACTTGTACAAGGCTCGCTCGATCCTTACTGCCCGATCATTTTTGGTACCCGGCCCGATTGTGCCTCACGTCGCCATGTCCAGCTATTATGTGTCAGAAGTGGAACTGGACTTCACAGTGACACCTGAGGACTACATCAGAGAGGCGACCCAAAAGGGTCAGCTCCGAGAAAGTCGGTCGCCTTAGACATTCTGGCGAATCTCCCGGCTGCTTTCAACTCCCCATTGGCTATGGTCGTCGGTGACGGGGCGCTCGTCTTGGGAGGAAGGGATGTTTCATATGGCAGCCTGGAAGAGGCATTAGGAGATCAAGCCCCCTAAACCTCTAAAATCCCTGAAGCTCTAAGCCCTTGGAGCCCTAAGCCCTTAGAGCCCAACACCTTAGACCCCCCAAACCGATTCCCTCCTCCCAGGACCATCGCTAAACCCGAAACCCAGAACCCAAACTCGGGGTAATTCCCCGAACCTAAGCACCCTAAGCCCCAAGCCCCAAACGCTGAACCCCTACAGCAGACGGGTTGTGGGGTTTAGGGATTAGGTGGTTTAGGGTTTAGGGTTTAGGGTTTAGGGTTTAGGGTCTAGGTTTTAGGGATTAGGAGCTGCTCCTTAAGTTCGACTGTGACATCCTTGCAGCTAAAGCGTCGAGACCCCCTCGCATCCAGGATTTGCTTGACAAGCAAATTGCGCAGAGGCCGGTTCATGGGTCCAGCTTCGGGGTTGGGCTTGCTTGGTTAGGGTTGAGGGATTAGGTGGTTTAGGGTTTAGGGTTTAGGGTTTGGGGTTTAGCGTTTAGGGTTTAGGGACCCCGCAGATGTACAAAAGAAACCAGGGATAGGTAGATACGGTTTATGGAGCATCAAGCTCGAGGACCATCCCAGCCGCATGCTCTGTGAGCCAGGACCCAGAGTAGGCCCTTATTCCCTTTTATCGGGTTGAGGTTCCTTGCACAAGGTCCCAGGATAGCTCACAAAAAGTTACGTGGACCCCTTAGACAATGTGAGCCTTTGTTGCTACTGATGCTTGAATGCTGGGCTATGAGGGATGGAAACGTTTTGGTATGAACTAAGTGGATATATGTAGGCCGATACATGCACGGAGTCACTATGCACAGAAGCAACAAACAAACTCAAACCAGTACCGACGGGCTTCAGCAGCAAGCCCGTATAGGGTCTTAGCTTTACAACACACCTGGACTTGCTTTCCTAAACCTACAACACACCTGGAAGTACTTCCAACTCGCTTAAACCCTAAACCCTAAACCCTTGACACCCCCACCCATCCCGCACCCACCCACCCCAGAAGGTTCCCCAGGTTCCCTTGTAATCCCCTTGAAGCCAAAAAGGGTACCCTTTTTCTTCCTAGGTTACTCCTGGGTCTAGGCCTACAAGAGCCCTAGAATTCCATGTGCTGGGAGGAACGACAAGAAGGCCTCCCGAGAGAGCTCGGCACGCTGGCGATACGTTTGGAGGGTTCGCGGGGGTTTGGAGTTTAGAGTTTAGGTTTAGGGTTTAGGGCTTAGGGTTGAGGGTTTAGGGTTTAGGGTTTAGGGTTCATTCACGCGTATTCGGGCGACCCTGTGTTACCCGTATTCACGGGATGTGAAGGAATGTCCATGGGCCCCTAAGCCCTAGATCCATGGGCCCCTAAACCTCGCTTGCTTTTCTCCATCGTTGTGTCAGGATCTCATTCAAGTTTCGAAGCAGGATCTCAAAGTCAGTTCGCCCCTGCCTGGTCCTGGTACCTTGAAGCATCTCGAAATGACCCCCCCCCCAGCCCTACTAAGAAGCTCCAACGCGCAACGCTTTTCAGCTTCAGCGCAGTGTACAAAAACTACGTAGCATCTCCATAGTTAACCCCTAAACCCTAAACCCTAAACCCTAAACCCTAAACCCTAAACCCTAAACCCAGAAGGAAAGCATGAGATTTCCCAGCCGCCGAGGTGAGCACCACCGAGGCACGCTGCACGTTTCTTGCGTCGAGCGGACGTCGGTTCTTGGCGTTCCGGCGGTTTAGGGGTTTAGGGGTGTCAGGGGTTTAGGGGTTTAGGGTTTAGGGTTTAGGGTTTAGGGGTGTCAGGGGTGTCAGGGGTGTCAGGGGTTTAAGCGGTTTAGGGGTTTAGGGGTTTAAGGCTTTAAGGCTTTATGAGGCCAAGGCAGGGCGCGGAATGCTTATCAGAAGCGCTCAGCCAAGGTTAGCGGAAAGCTGTGCAGTCTGGTCCTGCGCAGATGGCGAAAGCTTTTCCTAAGGGTTTAGGGTTTAGGGTTTAGGGTTTAGGGTCTAGGGTTTAGGGTTTAGGGTTTAGGGTTTGGGGTTTGGGGTTTGATCGCAGGGAGTGAAGCCGGCAGGTAGAATGCCGCTGGTGCTAGAGGGTCAGGTTCTCGGCCCGTGATTGGTGGCTGATCTAAAGTCTGGCCTCTTGTTGCAGCACGAAACCTCAACCCTAAACCCTACACTAAACCTCAAACCCTACACCCTAAACCTGCTCAAATACCCCATAATACTACATCCTAAGCCCTCCTATACCGAAGCCCCGAATCTTTTTCTCAGCGTTTCGAACTAAACCCTGGCAACCCGATAAACCCTGGAAACTCTATACACCCTCCGGTTTTAAGCCTCGGAACCATAAGAACCCTATAAACCCGATACTAAACCCTATAAACCCCGAAAACCCAAAAACCCTGTCACTCCTATAACCCCTATACAGCCTGTAAACCCTATAAAACCCGGAAACCCTATAAACCCTAAACCCTGTAAACCTTGGTAAACCCTACCAACCCGGCCCGAAACCTTGTTGCTTGCTCTGGGCGTAGGCCCCAAGCACGCCATCGGATGCTTCGAAGAGCCCAGTCACCACTCCCTGTGGCGACAAGGACCGTTGCCGCTGTCACTGCGTGCAGGGGTTGGAGTTTGTTGGCTTAGGGTTTAGGGTGTGGGGTTGGGGTCTGGGGTCTCGGGTGGACTTGCAGCAGTGGCCGCGTTGCAGACTCCAGACTCTTTACCGCTTCTGTGGATCATGACCGGGATTCCTCGCTGTTTGATGCAGGAGCAGCATGCAAACCCCCTTGTTGCGCTAGATGCCCCCAAAAAGTCCATAATTGTGTACTAATTTCGAGCAATCGCCCCCCATCCCCCTTCCCCACCTCCCATGTAGCAAACGTTATGGACCTCTCCAGCTTCGATGTTTTGGATGCGGACAACATCCCAGACTTCTACTGCGTGCCCCCAAAATCCTCTTCCAGTGGAGGCTCCGCAGATGAACTTCGTTGAGGCCCTGCTTGTTTGAGGGATTACTGGGGCGGACATTGCAACCTTTTCAATTCAAGTGAAGAGTTGCCCAGGGGAGGTGAGAAGGATTGTTGGGCACTCAGCCCAGACACAGGGGGTCTAGGGTTTAGGGTTGAGGGGCCAGCTGAGCTTTATGGACCCTCAACTCCCACCCTACAGTCCGGGGCACAAAGCCCCCGCGCACGGCAGGTTCGGCGACAGCTGCTGGCGTATCGGAATATGGCCGGGGCACCAAGCCGAAGCATGAAGCAAGTGAGTTGAACGACGGATGCTAAGGAGAGTTAGATGGCTGCGTCCCGAAGCCCTAAACCCTAAACCCTAAATCCTAAACCCTAAACCCTAAACCCTAAACTCTAAACCGAAGCTCCAGCGGTCGACAGGCCTTCAAGAAGGAGTTGAATTCCTTGCGGGCGGGCCCTACTTAAAAAAGATTGGGAGCCGTGGGCGCCAGAGGGCCCTGTCAGCAGCAACCAGCAAGCTCAAAAAAATGGAAGCCCAGTTGGGTCCAGTTAGGGTTCTACATCCTAAGCCCTAAACCCTAAACCCTAAACCCTAAACCCTAAACCCTAAACCCTAAGAAACCTGTGCCTGCGAGGTTCCTAAGGATGACCTGCCCGACTACGTCGTGGAAGTTGCCCCAGTTCCAGCGTGGGCCCTGAAGTTCTGGGGTTTAGGGTTTAGGGTTTAGGGTTTAGGGTTTCAGGGTTTCCCGAAGCCCTCAAGCCTAAACCCTAGGGTTTACAAGGGCTTTGGCTTAGGGCTTCAGAATCATTATGCATTTTCCCGGCTGCATATTTAACAGAAACAAATTGAAGGATATACCTAGCTTGGGGCTTCTTGTGTGGGTGAGGGTTACCCTAAACCCAAACCCTAAAACCCCTAATCATGCTGAGGGCAGGTTGCTTAGGCAGGACGGGGGGGAGACTCCGAGGAAGTGGAAGCATCCGCAAATCTCGATACCGTCTTTGGGCTCGGGGGGCCCCCTAAACTTTGAGATCCTTTTTTCTCCTCACCCTGCGGCTTCCTACCCTCACAACTCGTGATGAAGCCATGATTGGTCCATGTTCTGGGAGTGCCCCAAACCCTAAACCCGAAAACGCCCCAGGCAAGCGAGCTGGCCAAGCGCCTTTGCTGCGGTCGAAGGTGTTTCTAGGGGAGAAGCCCCAAACCCTGGACCTCGGACCCCAGACCCTAAACCTTAGACCCTAAGCCCTAAAGTCTAAAGGCTATGGGTGTGGGTTTAGGTGTGGAGTTTGAGGCTTTTCTGGCTGGGTTTGCGCTCTGTCAGGGGAACTCCGTACAATGCCTTATAAGTTGGGACCGTGAGGGTTAGATAGGAGCCCTTGTAAGGGCAACTTAAGGTATGTCAGGGGGGTGCCCGAAACTTCAAAAGTCTCAACTATGGCCCCTCCTTTTCCTGGCCATTTTTGGGGTATGGTACTTCAAGAAATCTATGATTTCATATGTTCCTTTCTCCAACAAAGGATCCCGGTTGGGGGAGTCCCCGTTGAAGACCCTTAAGGCCCGTAAGGCCCTCAGCAGGAGACCACAAACCGTGACCACCAAAACCCAAAAAGTGTGAGATGACCAGCAAGAAGCCGGGACTCGTACCCTAAACCCTAAAGCCCAAAAGCCCTAAAGCTCCAAAGCCCCAAACCCTAAACCCGAAGCCCTAAAGCCCTAAAGCTCTAAAGCCCCAAGCCATAAAAAGACCAGGGCTTCGGGTTTGGGGTTCGGGAGTCGGTTTGCAGTGGCGCTTGGGCTTTTAGGCCTTGGGGATTCAGGGTTTCGGTTTAGGGTTTTAGGGTTTTAGGGTTTGAGGGTTTTAGGGTTTTAGGGATTTAGGGTTTTAGGGTTATAGGGTTTTAGGGTTTTAGGGTTTTCGGGTTTTAGGGTTCTAGCGTTCTAGGGTTCTAGGGTTTTAGGGTTCTAGGGTTCTAGGGTTCTAGGGTTTTAGGGTTTTAGGGTTTTAGGGTTTTAGGGTTTTAGGGTTTTAGGGCTTTAGGGTTTTAGGGTTTTAGGGTTTTAGGGCTTTAGAGTTTTTGGGTTTTAGGGTTAAACGGTTTATTGTTTTAGGGTTTGAGGCTTTTAGGGTCTGAGTTTTTAGGGTTTCTGGGAGACGCGCCAAACCCTGAACGCTGCACCGAGGCCCAAAACCCCAAGCCCTCGGGACTGCGACGGCCCCATTTTGAAAACCCTAAACCCTAAACTCTAAACCCTACACCCTAAACCCCAAACCCCAAACACTCTTTTTCTCGTGGAGCCCCTTATGGCGAAGTTGTCATCCGAACGGGGACCACAATCTAGAGGGTTTTGGGTTTAGGCTTTGAATCCGCCCTAGGCCTTGAACCCGAAACCCTCAACCCCTCAACCCTGAACCCCTGAACTGAACCCTAAACCCCAAATCCGCAATCTCAGGAAGGACGAAGGACTCCCCTTCCGCCAACAGTCGGAGCCTGTAGTGACCAAGAGCCGCTCGGCAGGGTATCGATTGCTGTTTAGCACTTCGGGTTTTGTACCCCCCAAATCCTATAATTTCTAGAAACCCTCTCACCTAGAATGTGTGCTGTTCCGTGACACCCTCACTCGTCGACCATCTATGCTCTACGCGGTACCCTAAACCCTAAACCCTAAACCCTAAACGATAAACCCTAAACCCTAAACCCTAAACCCTAAACCCTAAACCCTAAACCCTAAACCCTAAACCCTAAACCATACACGCTAAGCGCTAAGCTCAACTAGGCCGCCCCCTACACTTGGGACGGGGCCTAAGTCCCTCGACCTCAATGGCGCAAGCCGACCCAGGTCGTTCGCCTGCCTCCCACAAACCTGCCTCCCACAGCTCGGATCGGTAGCACCCACACTGCAGCATCCAAGCTTCAACCCAAAACCCCTTCGGACGGTACCCCCCCGGGACCCCTAGGACCTTGCTGGGACCCCGGACCCCTTTTCAGACTTTGCCTGACGCACGGCGCCTCTCGGACCCAGGAAGCCTCTTACAACCCCCTGACGGAACGTCCCAAAGCGGAAGAAATTTTCAGAAGTGGCTGTCGCCTTGAGCTTAGGCCTAAACCCTAAAAGGAATAGGTTTAGGTGGCTTTGCCGCCTCGGACGGCGCGGGGTGGGAGACAAGTGTTAGATGGCCTTCCACAATCGGGCCAAAGCTGCACTTCGCGCCTCACGAAGCTTTCGAGCTTGTTCCAAAGCCTAACCTTTACAGCATCTACGCCCTATCACACGAAACCTTGACCCCTAAAGCGTAAAGCCTAAAGCCTAAAGCCTAAAGCCTAAAGCCTGAAGCCTGAAGCCTGAAGCCTAAAGCCTAAAGCCTAAAGCCCAAAGCCTAAAGCCTACAGCCTACACCCTAAACCCTAAACCCTAAACCCTAAACCCGAAACCCCAACCCCTGATCCTGTGCAAGGCTCGGCATCCTCACTGCGCCGGCAGATGTCCGCACAAGTCGAAAGGCTGGGCCTTTTCCAGACAAGACGATTTTGACCGATGCTACCCTCAGAACGAAACCCTCACCCGGTAAACCCCCTACCCCAATCGCGGGTTGGGGGCCTTTGTGGTGCCGGCTTTGGCCTATAGGCCCCTTATGAATATTTTGTACTTCTGTGAAACCCGGGGATTTGTTATGAAATTAAGGTTCCAGTATTTTTAAATAACCGGAGGGATTTATTATGAAATTAAGGTTCCAAGGGGAGGATGGTGGCGGGCTTGTTCGGTTTCGATTCCATCCTCCGGTCCCCGTGGGTCGAATCGAAGCGACTCATCGGGCTTGGGGTTTCGAGTTGCGCTTCAGGATTTTAGGCTTTGAGGACTTAACGTTTAGGATTTTGGGGGCATGGCCCTGATACTCTGGGTACCGAGAAGAGCTTGCGCAGGCACGCCATCTTGTAGGGCCCTTTGGCAACTTTGGTGCCCTAGACTGCAGATTCAAGGAGACCCGAAGCCCTGGCCGTAGGCCCCCTAAACCCTAAACCCTAAACCCGAAACCCTAAGCCCTAAACCCTTAACCCTAAGCCCTAAACCCAACTGAATGACAGGTTCACCGATCGGGCCTTCACCGGTTCCCAAAGCCTCGAAGCCCCCGAAGGCCGTAGGCCACCAACGACGGGCTGCATACGCACTGTTTTGTTTTTCCAGCCCGCAGTCTAGGTGCCCGTATGACCCCCTCCCCCCCCTCCTTAAAGAAACCCTTTCAGAAATGGTCCCGAAGCCCTAATTAAGACCTAAACTTAACGGCTCCTGCGACGCAGCCGCAGGCCCCCGCCGAAGAAAGCACCGGCCCTCGTCGTCTCGGCCAACGCCTGGAGGCCTGCGGCCAAGCACCTCGGTTGCAAATCATTAGGAACTAGGGTTTCGGGTTTGTAGGGTTTAGGGTTTAGGGTTTAGGGTTTAGGGTTTAGGGTTTAGGGTTGAGGGTTGAGGGTTGAGGGTTTAGGGTTTAGGGTTTAGGGTTACTTGTGTTTAGGGTTCAGGGCTTGAGGGGTTTAATGTTTTAAACAGGGCGACACGAGTTTTGCCGACTTCAGCGGTTTGAAGCGCTCCCAGGTTGCTCCGGGGTTGAGGGGGGGCGCTTTGTCGAGGCCACGACGATTCATCACTGTTGGGGTACTTTCGGGGTGGCAGAAGGGTTTAGGGTTTAGGGTTTGGGGTTTGGGGTTTAGGGTTTAGGGTTTAGGGTTTAGGGTTTAGGGTTTAGGGTTTAGGGTTCGGAGCCCTCGTCCCAGCCATATCTGCGGAGCAGCCTGCTCCCGAGAATCCTCAACCCGGCCTTCTGGAGTTGTCATAGGGCGAAGCAGGAACCCTGGACCCTAAACCCTAAACCCTAAACCCTAAACCCTAAACCCTAAACCCTAAACCCTAAACCCTAAACCCTAAACCCTAAACCCTAAACCCTAAACCCTAAACCCTAAGGGGGGGTTGCGAGGCTTATCGGGTTGAAAAGTCTGAGTGCGTTCATAGGGTGTCTGTGATGGCATCTATGGTGCGCTTTTGCTTCCTGGCTTTTCTTGCAGGGTCTCAGGGGCGCACAGGGGCTTCCCTGTGGACCCTACACCCTGGGTCTGGGGTCCACAGGGTTGCGTGGGGATACCCAATAAAAATTGACCCCCTTCCCCCCTAAGCACTAAACCTCAGGCCCCAAACCCCAATAACCCTAAACCCTACGGAAAAAACACAACCAAAAACGGAGCCTTGAAAGGAAGACGCCGGAGGATGACCTCAAGCGCCAGGTGCAAGGTGCAGCTGTCTTGGGTTTCGGGTTGCACCTGTCTAGGGTTTAGGGTTTAGAGTTTAGGGTTTAGGGTTTAGGGTTTAGGGTTTAGGGTTTACCGTTTGAGGATTAGGGTGTAGGGCCAAGCTTCAGGTTTAGGGACACCGGGTCTACAGGGTTTACGAAGCAACATGGGCATCAGAGTCCGCCCCTCAGGCCACGTCGAGCCGGTTCGGTGATGCTATGGTTTAGCTTTCCCGGCTTCTACTCAGGTTTCAAGGGTGTCAGTAGGGGTTCGCTCCCCGTACAGTTAAGCCGAAAGCCCCCTAGACCCTACATCTCCCCTCCTCACCCTTGAAACCCCTAAACCCTAGGGTTTAGGGTTTTAGGGTTTAGGGTTTAGGGTTTAGGGTTTAGGGTTTAGGGTTTAGGGTTTAGGGTTTAGGGTTTAGGGTTTAGGTTTAGGGTTTAGGGTTTAGGGTTTAGGGTTTAGGGTTTAGGGTTAAGGGCCTATCTTTCATGCCAGGCCTGTTGAACAAGATTTGCCCGGAGAACGTCGCCTCCATCATCGAGAAGATTGCGTCCATCAAGGTCGACGACATCAAGCAACTGGAGGCCACTCATGTGGCTCTGATTGGCTTTCCGGATCTAGGCCTCACAGTAGGCCCTTAATCCGTTTTGTAGGGTTTAGGCTCCCTTAGCAGCCCCTTCAAACCAAGAGGGGTACCGTTGTTGTTGCTAGGTTACTCTTGGGTCTAAAATTCCCTGCATTAATCCGTGAGGGCAACGGCAGCCTTATTTCTTTACTAGGGTCCCTTGCGCGAATGCTAGTTTGGTTTGTCCAAAGTATGGGCGAGGGCTTGTTGATTTGGGGGCCTCCATCAGCCACGGGGGCCGGGGGGGGGGGGGAGGGAGGGGGGAAGTTGAGGTATCTCTGTGTTCCTGTAACAATATGAATTACAACGTCTTGGGCATGTAACGGGTAACTGGTTACCCTGATTTTTGTTGAAAGTTGCCCTTGTCTAAGAAAGGACACAAGGCTTCATGAAGGGTTGCAGCCAGATCACGCTGTGACCAGGGATACCCCTCAGCTCTGGGGCCTACCTTCTTCTAGGTTGGTTGCCATATTCCACTGCTCATATGTATATATATATATACACTCATATACACATATACATATGTATATATAGATATATATATATATATGCATATATGGCATAGGACTAGGGCCTGTTGTCAGGGCCCCTCCTTCAGTCAGACCCAAACACACTTGATCCCCTAAGTTTGGGTCCAGGCCATCATTGAGCTGATGTTCAAGAAGGCAGCGTTGTGGGACTCCTCCCCAAAGCAACCCACAGTTCAGGGTTTAGGGTTTAGGGTTTAGGGTTTAGGGCTTAGGGTTTAGGGTTTATATAGGGTTTAGGGTTTAGGGTTCCGGGTGATTTTGGGGTTCTTGGTAGCCCAGTGGAACCCCTTACCCTTTTCTTGGTTCTGGGTGCCCTTTTGAAGTAAGCAACCAAGAAAAAGGGCACCCTTATCTTAATATGGTCACCGCGCTACGGAGGGTTCGAGGCTCTGTATGCTGAACCCTGACCCTGCCGCCCAAAGCCTCTTGGATAGCCAGGAACACCGACCGCAGAACCCCTAAACCCTAAATAGCCCTGCCGAAGGCATCTGATGTAAACACTTCACACCATGACCTAGCTTCGCAGCACACCAGGGCTTCAGAGCCCAGCATGTTTCTGTGTTGCCTGTAAACCGTTGAGGGGATTTGTAGGCCTCAGAGCAGCGAGGGAAGGCTTGGGCGAGTCGGTTTATGCAGTCAGAGTTAGGGCCAATGGCATTCAAGCACGTTGGTTGCTTGTTTTGAGGCACTCGGGCTAGGAGGCGGGCCTTACGTTCTTGCAAGGGACTGCGCAGTGGCTTGCGAGCTTAGGGCTGAACACCAAGAAACCCTAAACCCTTAGACCCTTAGCCCTAAACCCTAAACCCTAAACCCTAAACCCTAAACCCTAAACCCTAAACCCTAAACCCTAAACCCTAAACCTCGCAACTTCGGGGTTGGTCTGGGGCCTCGAAACGATGGTGGGAAGGCCATCACCGAGCCCCACTACTGCGAGACCTATGCGGACATGGTGTTCAGCCTGAAGGTGTGGCAGTCTCGGGTTGCCCTGGGGTTTAGGGTCTAGGGTTTAGGGTTTAGGGTTTAAGGAATTTAGGGCTTAGGGGCTATAGGGTTTAGGGTTTAGGGTTTCGGGCTTAGGGGAATTCAGGGTTCAGAATAATACGCGCAACCCAAACATAGGGCTTTTTGGGGGTTTAGGGGTTTAGGGAACTCTTGCATCCCAATCACAGCTGAGGATAATATCGCCCAAAGTATAGCCCCCCCCCCAGGTCCCTGATACGCCGCTTCGTGCCACCTGCGCAGGCGGTGTACCCGTCTTTCCCGGATCCCGACGGCGGCAAGCCGATCACATTCAAGGGACTTGTCCTGAACATCTGCTGCTTGGCAAGATGTGGGGCCCCTTCAAGAGGCTGCCCAAATTCTCGCAAGGGAACCGCAACAACGGGCCTTTACAATTTCGTGCACGTTTCCCGCGACACCTTGCATCCTGGTCCGGGATTCGTTGATTTTCCAGGCGTAGACCTCTAACTGCTGAACCCTCAACTCCCTCATCCTAAACCCCTGAACCCTGCTCGTGAGGCTGCAATATCGTACTGACATCCTTCTGATGTGGAGTGTTTCTGCTAGAGTGCCCTACTATTTGGGGTCCATATTCGGGGTCTCTTATTATCGTAAACCCCCAACTGCTAGAAGCTTGCTACTCACAGGTTCGGCCGGTGGGAGGGAGGTCCTTGACTGTTCTGCCGTGATTCGATCGGAACGGTGAAAAACACAGAGCAAGGTCAAAACGAGTTCGAGGAGCTGTTGGCATACAACGACATCAGCGCAGAGCAGATGCTCGTCCTGAACCGAACCCGCTAAGCCCTTACACCCTGCCCCCAAACCCTAGCCTGATACCCTAAGACTCGGATACCACAGCCTACATTTCCCTCAGCCCTCTCCCCCTGCCCGATGTCGCTCGAGGGTAGGTATGAGGGTTTGCGGCAGCTGCCACACACGCTGAGTTGCACCCTTCTTACAATCCCTGACGAGCTATCCATCCAATAGCGAACCGACCAACCAGTTGACTGACTAGGAGACCCTTAGCTAAGCTAACATAGGGGTCGGAACAGATACTAATTCAATAGTATTCCCTTATGGTCATTTTATATAGGTTATACTATAGAAACCGGCAAAACCCTATTCTAAGTACTAAGGCCCCTAAACCCTAAACCCCAAACCCCAAACCCTAGACACTAAACCCTAAAACCCTAAAACCCTAAAACCCTAAAACCCTAAAACCCTAAAACCCTAAAACCCTAAAACCCTAAAACCCTAAAACCCTAAAACCCTAAAACCCTAAAACCCTAAACCCTAAACCCTAAACCCTAAACCCTATTCTAATTATTAAGGCCCCCATCTTACTTATGTTCAAGCCGTGACCCGAGGAAGGCGACGCTCGACGCGGAGGAGCTCGAGTACATGCGCAAGAAGCGCAAGGCAGGGGTTTAAGCTTTGAGGGTTTAGGGGTTTTTAGGATTTGGGGCTTAGGGTTTAGGATTTCGGGTTTAGGGTTTGGGGTTTAGGGCTACTAGGGTTTAGGGTTTGGGGTTCGGGGTTTAGGGTTTACGGTTTTGGGTGTTTGCCAGCGTGTCGAAGGGTTTTCTAGAAGCGGCGCTCGGGGTTAAAATACCCTAAACCCCATCTAGGCTCTAAACTGTCAAGCCTAGCTGAGGAAGGGTACCCCTAACATTGTGCTGCTCCGTTTTGTTCCTTTTCATTGGGGGCTGAAGCCAACGTCATTCAGGAATATGGGGGGGTTGTGACAATAACAGACCCCCCCCACCCCGCCCCACCCCGGAAAAAAAAGATCCACTAAGTAGTAGAATTCCCTTATAATCAGGACCCCAAGAAGGTAAGAGTTGAACCCCCCCCATCATATATCAGAGTTCTTCAAAGGGCCGCGTGGTCCTTGACCTGGAAAAACGACCTTGTTCTATTATGATACAGAAGACCAGACATGCCAACGGTCGGAGTTTAGGGTTTAGGGTTTAGGGTTTAGGGTTTAGGGTTTAGGGTTTAGGGTTTAGGGTTTAGGGTTTAGGGTTTAGGGTTTAGGGTTTAGGGTTGACCTTGGGCCTTTGAGGGTGCATCTGACGCATGCAGCGTGCGGTCCTCACTATACGTCCGGGATTTTTAGATTTTTAGGCTTCAACAAAAATCTGCGTCCGCAGGAAGATACTTGCAATCTGTGAGCTGCTCTTCCAAGGGTTCTCCTAAGCTCAAAAGACCCTAAACCCGAAACCCTAAACCCTAAACCCAGAGGACCGCATGCGCGCCAACATGAAGTTCATCGGCCACCTCTTTTTGCGCCAGCTTCTCTCCGCAAAGGCCGGTAGACAGCATTTCATGAAGCTAGAACCCTTTGTTTCGGGTTTAAGGTTTAGGGTTTGGGGTACCCTCAGCCCAGACCTGTATGAGCATTGGGCTAAGGCGTTTGAGGCCTGGAGTTTGAGTGCTATGGGTTGAAGGTTTAGAGTTTCAGGGCTGAGGGTTTAAATATTGCATGTTGGGGGGACCTAGGTCCTCAGGATTTACCCCAAGATTGAGGTTGAGGGTTAAGGGTTGAGGGCTTTCTAGGGTTTGCATTGCTTAGTTGTCGGACCCTAGCTGTGAGCCTGCACAAAGTTAGGCATTGTTGAAAGGTAAACCTTTCACGGGCTTTGGTAGTTATGTTTTCTCGGGCCTAAACCAAACGCGGGGAACCCCTAAACTCTTAAACCCTCGAACCCTTCCACCCTTAAAATATTTCAACCCTTTACACCCGTAACGTCTTAAAACCCTGAAACCCACAAGCGATGAGTGAAATCTAAAGCCCCCAGCCAGTCAACCCTCAACCATCTTGCAGGTCATCGGAAGCGTGATCTGCGCCTTGGGCAACAGCTGGTGTTCCCATCAACGGGCTGATGGGGGAGTTTCGACCAGGTCGATGTTGCAGTCCTGAACCTCAAGAGTTTCCAACCCTAAGCCCGAAAACCTAAACCCTAGTCCCTAAGCCCTAGACCCTAAACCCTGAACCCTAAACCCTCAACCCTCAACCCTCAACCCTAAACCCTTGCCCTAAAACCCGAAGCCCCATAGCCCGCTCTGACCCCCAACGCGGGTCCCTGAGGCGTGACCCCCTTGCGATGGGTCCTTCCTTTCTTGAACAGGTTCCCTCTAGGTTTAGGGTTTAGGCTTTAGGGTTTAGGGTTTTAGGGGTTAGGGATTAGGGGTTAGGGTTTAGGGTTTAGGGGTTAGGGTTTAGGGTTTAGGGTTTAGGGAATCATAAAGGGTTTAGGGTAGCCTTTTCATTCCAAGGTTGCCGGAGATTCCCAGGTCCCTAAACCCTGAGCCCTAAAGCCAAAAATCCCTTGAAACCGCAAGCTGCTAAGCGGCCCTTGCTAAGGTGAGCTGGTGCTTTGCGAGCAGATTGATGACTTGCCCGAGGACCCACAGCCACTATCGATGTAGAACCCACATTGTGACGACTTCGGAGACCAGCTTCGGTGTGTCGGCTAAGTGGCTGGACCGCCAAGGAGAGTTGAACACAACTTCGAGCGAGGTCAGGCTTGTAAAAGGCTCTGAGTCTAGGGGATCGTGAGGTCCATGGCCGGCAATGCTTCCGAACGGCTGGATCCCGGCAACGTCGAGTAGAGCTTCTAAATGAGGATCCCCCTTTAGTACCCCCAACAGGTCGGACTGAAGCGCCAACATGGACATGAGACCCTAAACTAAAACACCAAAGAAAGGCCATATTTTCCCTTATTGGGCTCAAGAAGATCTGAATCTTGTACAACAGAAGCCCTAAACCCTAAACCCTGAACCCTGAACCCTGAACGCTGAACCCTGAACCCTGAACCCTGAACCCTGAACACTGAACCCTGAACCCTGAACCCTAACTCCAGGAGCATGCCCTTGAGTGCGCATGCGAGCTGCTGCTGGCCATCGGCTTCTCATCCTATTGGGCTCCGCTGTGTAGAGTTTGGGTCAATGAAGGCGTTACCTGAATTTCAATATAGACTTGGGGGTTGAAGGGTTTCGGAGGCGGAGAAGGAGGGGTTTAGGGTCTCGGGATTAGGGTAGGCTAGTTGGGCTGCTGCAGAACCTCACAACCTCATCGTTGCTTGAATCTACCTTCTGGCCGCTCAGCCCGCTCCTCAGCAAAGGTCGTCATTGGCATCAGCAAGTGCTTGCTCGGAACTCGTTCGAACTGAAACTGCTCATCCAACAATCTCTGAAAGGTTTGCCTTGCCGGCCCCGGAAGTTGACATCCATACCATAAGGGAACGTCACAGGGGGGAGGAGAAGGCCACCTTCTACCATAAGGACTTGGCTTCCCGTCTGCAAATGCCAGCACTCACGTGGCTTAAGTCCCAGGGAAGCGGTCTCTGCCGCAGGGTCAGCACGTCTGCGCCCTTTTGCCCTTTGTAGCCCGGGACCTCTCTCCTGTGCGCACGACAAGCACCCCAAGCACCGATTCGGCCAGCTTCATAAGCATCGTCGATGTTCTCTTCGAGCTCCCACTCATGGAAGGTCGGCTCATCCTCCAAGAGATCTGCGCCTGCGGGCCTCTTCTCCACCACCATGATGCCACAAGGTTGGCCTCAGCTCTTCGACCACGTCCTTTCACTGCACGGGACCTCTGCCTTCAGATCCGCGGCACATGCCTTGCCTTGCTCACATTCCATGTGAGGCCCCCCTTCGCGGTTTCTCACGGCACACAAGATCTGGCGGTTCGGGTCTAAGGCGCTTCTTGCATCCCGAAAGTTCGCCAGGCTTGTCTCATCCGGCTCCTCAAGCTTTGCTGCATCTTGAAAATCATGACGTCATCTTCTCTGTCAGATCTGGGCTTTGCACTTTGTTGATCTGAATGGCGTCTTCTCCCATGGCCGATTCGCAAAGAGAATGGCGTGATCCACCACATCGGTGCGTGATCCCGGTGCCCAGCGAGCCACTCTTGAAGCTCTTAGCCGGCTGCCCGCCGAGCAAGCTTCATTAGGACGTTTCAGCCCTCAACCCTAAACCCTAAACCCTGAACCCTGAACCCTAAACCCCAAACCTCAGTCAGCATCTTGGAAGGTTCAAGAGTTCAAGATTTCTCCGACTGCCGTCAGTGTCGCCTAAAGCCTCGAAGTCCTTGTCCACCAGACTCGTAGCGCCAATCCCAGTCCCCATCTGCGGAAAACACATCCAACTTCAGCTCAACTCGAAGACTGTACTCTGAAATTCAGGTCTCCGTTCCAGGAGCAATTGTTGTTCCTTCCGCTTCCTTCGGCAGAACCCTGGTCATGTCTGCGCGTGCCGGAGCAGTCAGTTGAACAGTCCAAGCCCGGAGCGCAAAGGTTTCAGTAGCATGGGGAAAGCTTGCTGTACAAGACATCGCGCAGAGTACCTAACCCGATTAGGGACTTGTATGGGTCCAGGGGAATGTACGTATGATGCTTGACTCCAGCGGCCTACAGACCTACAGACCCACCCCTGAAGTTCACTAAACCCTGAACCCTAACCCCTAAACCCTAAGCCCTCAACCCCAGACCCTAAACCGCGAACTAGCGCTCCGCACCGAAAGTTGGCATGGGGGGACCCCTCGTTGCAGAGCGACCTTTCCTAGGTGCAAAACCCTACTTGGTGGTTCATGGGTAGTAAGAAGCGGTTTAGGGTTTAGGGTTTAGGGTTCTAAGAACGGTAACTAGACTTATCTATGAACCTCCAAGTAAGCATGGGGTAGTAAGAAGTAGGGTTCTAAGAATGGTAACTATACTTCTCTATGAACCTCCAAGTTAGCTCCACAGGCTACACCATGGAAAACATGATCGCGGGCCAGTCGGCATTGACATCTGCCCCCCGGCAGCATTTCATTTGGACAGCCTACTCTGGGGCCATACTCCTCCGCTCAGAAGTGCCTGGCAAGTAAGCCCAGCTCAGCATGGAGACCCTTCTTAAGCCTTTGGCACATGGTTTAGGGCCTCTTAAGCCCTAAAGCTTTAAGCCCATACAAAACCAACGAACCTATACCGTATAAATGGAACCCCAAGACCCTGAGCTGTAACCTACCAAAGTCCCATGCCGCCAGTGACTAGGGCTCATGACCCATCGGCCTGCGCAGCAGAGTAATATAAGGGGTCGGAATAAGTACTGATAATATTCCCTTAGGGTCCCTTCGTAACTATACTATACGAACCCCCCAAAACCCTATTCGAATCATTCAGGCCCCTAAACCTTAAACCTTAAACCCTAAACCCTAAACCCTAAACCCTAAACTCTAAACCCTAAACCCTAAACCCTGTGTGGCCCTGTGTGCGAGGTCTGCGGCCGCTTGAAGGAGTTGATGAAGCGCGGCTTGGCTGCTCTGGCGCTGGATCAACGATGACTTGGTAGCCCCTATACCCTAAACCCTAAACCCTAAACCCTAAACCCTAAACCCTTTGAACCTTCTTTTTGGGTTATGGGATCCCTTGTAAAGTAGCCAACCCAAAAAGGGTGCCCTAAATTATAATAAGGTTGCTGGGCTACCAAGATGAGGTGAGTTGACGCGATGCAGCAGCTGCGAGTCTGCTTAAGCAAACTCCTTCTGCATGCATTGCTGCTGAGTTTGCCTATATATATATATATATTCCCCTTGGGAATTATTTTTTGTTTATATAAAACCCAAGAGGATATTAACCATATTGTTTTTATTAAGGTTCTAAGGGGAGTATAGTTGCCATGGTGCTGTAAGGCTCTCCTGCCTAGGCCCCACGACGCCCAGGGCGTCTCGTGCTTGCGCGAGGAGTCGTGACCAAAGCCCCTAAACCCTAAACCCTAAACCCTAAACCCTAAACCCTAAACCCTAAACCCTAAACCCTAAACCCTAAACCCCAAAGCTGAGGCAAGCTCGAGAATGGCAAGAGCGCCTACTGCAAGCGCGTGCCTGCACCGCAAGTTGTTGCTACGGGCTCTGGGGGGGTCCACCCAGAGACTTACGTTAAACCGCAGGGAATCAAGGTCTAAAGCCTGTTTCAAGGCTTGCCTCCAAGAGAGATGTAAGTGCGTCCCAAGAGTGGCTCCAGCAGTGCATGTGCTGCTGAGGTCCAGTTCATGATCCAGGACCGGGTGTTTGGGGTCGTGGGTGGGGTATGATGGGGTTCAAGGAGCCTGAGGGACTAGTAGGGAGTCCAGGGGCACCTTGGGTTCCCCTCCCTTAAGAACTGAGGGTTTAGGGTTTAGGGTTTAGGGTTTAGGGTTTAGGGTTTAGGGTTTAGGGTTTAGGGTTTAGGGTTTAGGGAACTCTACAAGGGTAGAGAAGAGCTAGGCCCGAAATCTTGAACCGGGTTTAGGGTTTAGGAATGAGGGTGTAGGGTATAGCCCTAAACCGGGAAGCCAGAGAACCCGTTACCCAACAACCCTGACAACCTTCTAACCCTACATCCACAAGTTGGGGGCGCCAAGCCCGCAACCAGCTGAAGTTTCTGTAGCGGCTGAAACAAGTACTTGCCAGCAGCATCCTCTCTGAACTTCTCCAACCCTAAACCCTTCAAACCTTAATTTCACAGATGCTGATAATCATTTCGTCTAAAGTGCAGTGATAACATAAACTACCCCCCTCCCCCACCACCAAATACCAATGAAGTAGGCACCATTAGGCCCTTGAATTTACTCGCAGCCCGCGCCCCTCAACCCTAAACCCTAAAGCCACAACCCCGAAATCCGTGCCCGCCGGGGATTCCCCTACCCCTTTTGTACGGGGTATTCTTGGGTTTTAGGGCTTCTTGGGACTTGGGGAGTCCCTTTTCTGGGAGGCTAAGGTTTAGGGCCTTTTGGGTTTTGGGGGTTGCTTTCTGAAACTTGAGGGGTGCCCCGCAGGGCAATGCACGCACGCATACTAATTCTTAATCAGGGACAACATTTAGCTGAGTCCCACTTCCCCTTTGAGCCCGTATCCCCCAAAACCCTAAACTCCCTACACCCTAGACCTCACAGCAGGATGGGCTGTGTCGGCCTTATAATCCCCATAATCAAGCCTATAAAGGGATTTGGGCATAACGGCCCATCCTGATCCTGGGAATTACTGCAAATGGCACATAGTAAACCCCAGAAAGGGCCTTCTAAGGGGTTCTAGGGCATAGTGGCCCATCCTGGTAATTTCTGCAGACCCTAAACCCTAAACCCTAAACCCGAAACCCGAAACCCTGAACATGGCACGGGTGCCTCTTCAACTCCCGGCAGAGGATGTGCTCGACACACGTGCTGCTGGCTGGGCGAAGAAGGCCATGCCGTGCAGGTTATGGCGTTTCAGGGTTTAGGGTTCAGGGGTTTAGGGCGTTTAGGGCGTTTAGGGCGTTTTAGGGTCTTGGGGCGTTTTAGGGTCTTGGGGTTATAGGGTTTGGGGCTATAGGGTTATATAGGGTTACAGGGTTATAGGGTTTAAGGTGTAGGGTGTAGGGGTTTACGGTTTATAGGGTTTAGGGTTCTGATGCTTTTTTCCTCCGGCTGCAAGGGACTTTCAAAGACCATACAACAGGTGCTCTGCATCCAAGTGCCATGTCGCACAGATCGGACATTCCCGAATCTCCCACTGCCCCGGTGGTAGGCGAACCCTAACTCATCCCTCGCCTCTTCGGCTAAACCGCCTCAAGCCTCTGAAAAGCTCAAAACATTGGAGGCTTAAGGTCTAGGGTGCGACGTCCGCCAGAGGCCCAACTCTGAGCCCGAAATGCAAGGCACCCTTACGCCCGACACCCATGTTGCAGGTCTTCAAGGCCGCGGCGAAGACGAAGGAAGAGATCAGACTGGAGCAGGCCTAGTTGCTACTGCTTGCTTAAGAAACCCCCCCCAAAAAATGAACGATCCCCATATTGCCCTCAACAGAAAAATATTTTCTTATTTGTATGTTTTTTGGGGTGGGTTCTTAAGCAATTCGTAGCTTGGGGTCTGTGGGGCTGGCCGGCCGGCGGCTTGGGATGGCTAGCAGGCCCTTGGGGGGAGCCCTCCCAACTTTCAATTCAGGGTGGCGTGGCCTGTCTAGGCTTTTTCTGGGTTCTTTAGCTTTATTCTGTTGATTCAGGAAATCCCGGGCTTCAGGGAGGGTGTGTGTGAGTGTATAAATTTGTGTTTAGGTGCTTGAGAGGGGCTTTCGGGCTGATGTATTCAGGGTTGCGTGCACGAGGAATACCGGAGCTTCGTGCCAGTGCAATCTTGGCTAGCGTCCTGAGCTCCGAACCCCTGAGCCCGACAGGAGACCCTGAAACCTGAACGCCGGGTCTCCACGAAAGTGTCTCTGGGTCTCGGTGTGTCTCTGTGAGTGTGTTTGTCTGTGTCTCTGTCTCTTGGTAGCCCTGCACTACTGGGGTCTATGTGTGCGTAGCTTCTGGGCATGTCTTTCGAGCGTGTGCGACGCCGACGGCGGGGTGAAAAGTGTATTCCAGCGGGTGTTTATGATTATTCGGAACTTGAACCCCACAAACCCCAAACCCCCTTTTTGGGGGTTGGGAAGTGAGGGGACGGGCTCTCGAGCTTCAGAATAGGCCTCCATTTCCAGCTGGAAATGGACGTTAGGGCTAAGGGTACCTACCTGGAAGTCCTTCTCGAGGAGGGTTGTGCTATTGTATTGTTTTGTTGGGGGGGGGGGGGGGGGGGGGGGGGCGGTACGAAGGGGATGCCCTGAACCTAAGCCCCAAGCCATAAACCCGAATCAACACCAGCAAAAAGCGTGCCTAAAGCCTTCAGTGGGATGCCAGGAGAAGGAGATGTCCGAGCGCGCAAAGGGCAAGGACCAGAACCCAAAGCATGTTAGGGTTCGATTTCAGGACTTGGGGTGCCCAAATCGGGTATTAGGGTTTAGGGGTTAGGGGTTAGGGTTTAGGGTTTAGGGTTTAGGATTTAGGATTTGGGTTTAGGGTTTAGGGTTTAGGGTTTAGGGTTTAGGGTTTAGGGTTTAGGGTTTAGGGTTTAGGGTTTAGGGTTTAGGGTTTAGGGTTTAGGGTATAGGGTATAGGGTTTAGGGTTTAGGGTTTAGGGTTTAGGGTTTAGGGTTTAGGGTTTAGGGTTTAGGGTTTAGGGTTTAGGGTTTAGGGTTTAGAAGCATAAAACTTACGGTTATGCTCTCAACCCCTTTCATTCCGACGCTGTTTTCCTGACTACACTACGGCCCCGTGCTCACTGAGAGTGAAAGAGTCTGCATTTTGAGTCAAAACCCTACACCCTAAATCCTATGGGGTCTTCCTGCCTGAAGCAAAGTGCCAATCCCAAGATGCTCGGGTGGGGTCCTGCTACTGAGATGCAGGGTATCCGAAAGGGATCAGGGTTTAGAGACCTTGCCAGATCCAAAGACAGCTGAATCCATTCCTGAGCTTATTCGCAGGATGTGACCAAAGCCGAGTGCGTTGTCACAGGCCAACGCCCCGTCGCTTGGTTCGAAGAGAACCCTTCCATTCTTGACATAAACTTCCCGGGAGCCCAAAGCCCCTCAGTCATCATAGCCGTTAAACTTCAATTCCCCTACCCCTTGCAAGCCACTTGCAAGCCAAGGTGTACCTGTCGCAGGCGACGGGTGCGTAAGTCCTTTCACGAGCAGCCCGTCCAAAGGTTTTAGGCTTTGCATGCGGCTCTTGGCAGTGGAGGGTCGGCAGTGTGAACCCCAATTCTTCCGTCCCTTTTAGGGGTTTAGGGTTTAGGGTTCAGAGTCTAGGGAGCTTAACCTCCTGAATCATTCAAACCTAAAACACACTCGGCCGCTGAAGCCCGCAATTGGGGAGGGTGTTTTTTTTTTTTTTTTGGGTGGGGGGGGGGGGGGGTTGGTGGGTGCTTCCGTCGTTAGGGCTTTTCAGTTTTTCAGGAGGTTTAGAGATTCGGAGTTTAGGATAATGGGGCTCAAGGGCTCTGGGGGTTTTTTTGGTCTCAAGATGAAGGGAATTGACCCTCTAGGGCCGGGAGTAGGCCCCTTATTTCCTTTTTTTTAGGGTTGGGGTTCCCTTATTCTCCCCTGAAACCCAGAAAGGGTACCCTTGTTATTCCTAGGCGACTCCCGCGTCTGGCCCCTTCCTTTCGGCTTTGCTTCGGGTTTCGGGGAGTGTGCATTCTGGCCCCGGTTCTTTAGGGGTTTAAGATGCCCTTTGGCTTTACTAAGTTAAACCCGAAACCCCAAATCCCAAACTCTAACAAAGCAAGAGCAGACAGAAACCCTTAACCCTATAACCCTATAACCCTATAACCCTATAACCCTATAACCCTATAACCCTATAACCCTATAACCCTATAACCCTATAACCCTATAACCCTGAACCCTGAACCCTGAACCCTGAACCCTTTCGCCTCTTGAGATCCTCACCCATCTCAGGTGAATCGCCAGCCCTAGGCTCCAGTTTTGCGGCGAGGCCGATAAGACTCAGCGACTCGGCTTCCGAGTTGGGGGTTTAGGGTTTTGGGTTTTGGGTTTAGGGTTTAGGGTTTAGGGTTCAGGGTTTGGGGTTTGGGGTTTAGGGTTTAGGGCTTAGGGCTCAGGGCTTCGGGTTTACGAAACTCGGGTACCTTGTTGGCGTCCTCATTATAAGGGAATCCTACGATTTTGTGTTTTATACATATATATATGTATATATATATATATATATATTTTTTTTTTTTTTTTTTGGGGGGGGGGGGGGGGGGAGTGGGGGTGTACGGTAGGGCTCCCTTATCATCGTAAACCCTTAGCTCTTTTCTAGGGAATGAGGGAGTGAGGAGCCTTATCCACCCCTTTCTATGTTATATATATATATGGACACAGCCCCCCCGCCCCCCATCACCTACCCAGATCTGTTTTCCTCGTAAATACCGTTTAGAACCCGCTCGTGCCCTATGCCGTTTTTTGCTACTGCCAGTGGCTGTCTCTCGACAAAACAGACCCCACACGGACCACAGGACTGGACGCCGAGACGGGCGATACCAAAAAACCAAAAAAACCATCTTTTTTAGAGAATGGGGAGGGGATGTTGAAAAAGATGGTTTTTTTGGTTTTGCCTCGTAAAAAGATGGTTTTCCATAGGAAAACCAACTTTTCCCTCGTAAAAAGATTGTTTTGGCCTGGTCTGCCTCAGGAAAACCATCTTTTTGCGAGGTAAAAGTTGGTTTTTGGCTCCAAAACATCTTTTACGAGGCAAAACCGAAAAACCAATAAAACCATCTGTTTTAGAGAATGGGGAGGGGATGTTGAAAAAGATTGTTTTTTGATTTTGCCTCGTAAAATGACGGTTTTCCATAGGAAAGCCAACTTTTCCCTCGCAAAAAGATGGTTTTGGTGTGGACTGCCTCAGGAAAACCATCTTTTTACGAGGGAAAAGTTGGTTTTTGCTCCAAAACCATCTTTTTACGAGGTAAAAGTTGGTTTTTGTCGCCAAAGCCATCTTTTTACGAGGGTAAAGATGGTTTTTCTATGAAAAACCATCTTTTTACGAGGCAAAACCCAAAAAAACATCTTTTTGAAAATCCCCCTCCATTCTCTAAAAAGATGTTTTTTTGGTTTTTTGGTTTTGCCTCGTAAAAGATGGTTTTTCATAGGAAAACCAACTTTTTCCTCGTAAAAAGATGGTTTTGGCTTAGTGTTCTCAAGGAAAACCATCTTTTTGCGAGGGAAAAGTTGGTTTTCCTATGCAAAACCATCTTTTTACGAAGCAAAACCAAAAACAACCATCTCTTTCAACATCCCCTCCCCATTCTCTAAAAAAGATGTTTTTTTTTGTTTTTTTGGTTTTGCCTCGTACCTCTCTCGGGCCAGAACCGTGCAGCTCTACATGTAGCTGTCCAGTGGACGGTTTTGGTTCGAAGCAGGACGTGTCAGCATGCTTGGAGGCTCGTTGATTTTGGTCAGTCTTACATTAATCTCAGCAATAGCATTCCTATTCCTATTAATGTAAAAAGGGTTCCTAACCATCTTTACAGGACTTTTTTTAATTTTACTTATACTCTTATGAACTTTCAGAGGTTTCTTATTCAACATCAGAGGATTCCTAATACTTTTCAATAGGGTTCTTTTGCATTTCAACAAGGTTCTTAATCATCATGGTTCTTTTAATTCCAATAGGGTTCCTCTGAAACTAAAATTCTTGTTTAAGATTCATATGGGTGCCTATTCATTTTAGTGCGTCTCCAAGTAATGTTAATGGTATTCTTAGAAATTTGAATAGCATTCCTAGTCCTATTAATTCTAATAGGAATCACATTAAGTCTAACAGGAAGCCAAGAAATTTTGAAAAGGAACCACATTGAATTTTGTAGGATTCCTATTGGTTCATTATTAATTTTGTTGGATTCCTCTTCATTTTAAAAGGATTCCGATTCCTATCAATTCGTAATAGGGTTCTTATGAATTTTACTGGGGTTCCTAATAAATTCCGATTAACGTCAAAGGGTTCCTAACCATCTTAAAAGGACTCCTCTACCATTTCAGAATATTCTTATGAGTTTTCATAGTTGTTTTTATAGGATTCCTATTGGTTCCTATTAATTTTAGTAGGATTTCTCTTCATTTTCAAAGGCTTCCTATTAATTTGCAATAGGGTTCTCATGATTTTTAGTGGTGTTGCTTCTAAGTTCCTATTGATGGTAGGACCCTCTTCATTTCAACGATTCCTCTTAATTTGTAAAAGGGTTCTTGTGAATTTTAGTGGGGTTCCTCATAAATTGAATAGGATTCTAATTCATCATAACAAGATTAAGACAAATATTCATAGGATTCCTATTTAGATTTAATGGAATTCCCACATTCCCGTGAGTTCAAAAAGGGTCCTTTTCATTTTCACAGGCTCCCTACTATTCTTCATGAGGGCCCGATTGTTTTTCTACATTTTAAGAGCATTCCCATGACGTTTGATAGAGAGTTCCTCTGACTCAAATACGATTCCAAGTCAGTATTCCTAGTAATTCACTAAGATTCCTATTAATTTCAATAAGAGTCTTATTAATATTAATAGGGTTCGTATTAATTTTCATAGGGTTTTTCATTCAATTAATGGGTTTTTGTCAAATTCATACCTATGGCTAAGTATGGATTTCTTACTCCGACACGGCCTCACGGTAGGTATGGGGGGGGGGGGGGTGTGAGCATATATATATATATATTTTTTTTTATATACATATTTACATCTTATATATGTATATATATATATAGATGCATATATATATATTGTACACATATACATGTAGACATACATATGGTATCTGGCGTATTCCTAATAGGAACTTAGTCTGCCCTGGGGATTGATTGGGCGTGCGGGCTGTAGGGCCAAACCCCAAACGCGAAACCCTTGAGCCCTAAACCCTAAACCACACCTGGTCAGAGTCTTTGGTCTTTGGGGTCCAGGGTCTGGACCTTTTAGGTGTCCCTACCCTGCAGGGGCAAGGGTTCAAGGGTTTAGTGGTCCTTTTCGTGAATCCACCAAAAGAGGCTTGGCCAGAGAAGCCCAGGCTCACGCCAGGATCTGCCACTCGTTATAAACCCCAAAAGCCTCAACCCTAGATGAGAGCGCCTCATAATTTGACCCTCCAAATGACACCAACCCCCCTCCCCATTTTTTAAACCCCCCCCCCCCCCCCCCTAGCTTTGGGCACCCAAAACGGGACTCAAATATTGGGACCCCCCAAGTCCCAAACCCTAAACCCTAAACCCTATACCCTATACCCTATACCCTATACCCTAAACCCTAAACCCTAAACCCTAAACCCTAAACCCTAAACCCTAAACCCTAAACCCTAAACCCTAAACCGGGTTGCGGGTCCACATCTCCACACTGCGGCTCGCCAAGGCAACAGCGCCGCTTCTGGAGCCGGGCTGGGCTTACAGCTTTTTCTCTCTTTCTCCCATGGACAATAAACATGCAGCTCGGCCGGATGTTTAGGGTTTAGGGTCTAGGGTCTCGGGTCTGGGGTTTAGGGTTCGGCCGGATGTAATGTAGGGCATACGTGCTAAGAATATTCCTTTATGGTCCCTGTGTAAGTACACTATATAATCAAACCCCCCATAATCCTATTCTAATTAATTCAGACCCTATAGTGAGGCTGCCAGCCTTCCGAGTTTGGGCTGGGTGTGCTTGTGGGTTGCATCGCATGACTCGATGGGGGTGGGGGGGGGGGGGGGGGGTGGCCTGAAGAATGTGTCTTTTTGTTACCCTAAACCCTAAACCCTGAACCTAAACCCTAAACCCTAAACCCCAAACCCTAAACCCTAAACTCTAAACCCTAAACCCTAAACCCTTGCCGTTTGAGAGGTCGCAGAGGCCTCTGAGTCCGTGTCTGTGCGTCTGGGGCAGTTGCAACCAGCGTTGGACGGTAGCTAGGACCTGCCTCTAAGTACCCCCAATTCTACTGTTTGCTTAAGAACCCCAAAAGAATAAGGAAGAATATCATCATTGTTTTGGAGTTCTTAAGCAATCAATAGAATTTAGTTGCGGAGTGGGCTACAGGTACCCAGACCTGCAAAGAGAGTAGCGTTGAGTGTGAAGGAACCTTCTTTGCCGCAACTACAACAACCACTATCTCCCTAAGGGTCCCGAACCTTCCCCAAAGTTAGCCCTAAACTAAGCCCTAAA